GGGGGGGGGGGGGGCGGGGCGGGGAAATAATGCTTCTAAATCTGGCCTTCCAATGCACTTATAGAAGATTCCAGATGAACCAAACGGCCAACATATGAGAAGATACAGACTGAACAACTTTTATTAGGGTGATTTTCTGGACTCTACTTTGAATAAAATGTTGGGAGCGCCTCCAAAAGTGAGTGAAGGAAAATAAATGTGACTTCATTCAGATATCTGGCCTGTGAGATAGGCCAAGTTTGAGAATAACGTAGCTGTAACTATTTGTTATGTTTGGAAGCAGAGGAATGAGAAGGAAGGTAGTTGTGCTTCTAGAAAAGAAAAACTATCTTCTCTGAAACTAAGAGGGAAGAAGCTGTTTGATAGCAAGAAAGGCAGCTGATTGCCTGCAGTGAATAGCAGATGGCAAGGATTTCAACAGGACAGCAGCTTAAGGGAACCTCAAGTTCAAGTCCCCATGTCTTCATGGATACTTCCAGGTAGTTCTCAGAACCGGTTGGTCATCTTCTGCAGGATTTTCAGATAGTCTCCTAATCAGTCCCACTTTGCTTTTTTTGAGATCAGCCAAAGTCAATAAAGTGCAGCCCTGAAGGATCAAATGCTCCTCCCTGCTCACAAGCAAAAATAGCCAGAACCACAATTGGGTGGTATTTCAGATACCATCCAGTTTAGCCACCTGGGTTATTCGTACAAAACCCAGGAATAGCCGCAGTTCCTAGTTTGAGGTCTGCCTGATTGCAAACCTTGGATTTGCTGCCGCATTACCTGTAATGTTACCTGTATCTGGCCCCCAAGAGTTGAAAGTGTAGGAATCTGAGCATTGACATGGTGTACCCACCACCCACCAATGGAACTGGATCGGATCTGCTGTGGCTCAGAAAATGTAGCTCCATAGCAGCAAAAACCATACCAGATTTCCAAAGCTGCATTTGCTGAGGCTACCTACAGGAAACAATGAAAAAGCAAGCCATGCATATAAGAGGAAAAGGAGTTGTGGAATTTTAAATAGCTGTGATTCTTTTTGCTGCCATCCTTGGGTGAACGGTTAATCGGTTAATCGTATAAATGCATTTTCTGTCAAGGGACATGGGGAGAGAGAAACATTTGACTACTATAACTGGTTTGCTGATGGAAAGTGACTTTAGGTCCATCCAGCTCCGTACCACCATCTCTGGCAGATGCTATCCAGCGAAAGATAGGACTTTCCCATAATTTATTTCCCGATTATTTTAACTGGTGATGCTAGGGACCCAGGCTATTTAGCATGGAAAACAGCCACTCCTTCTGGCAAAGCTGACTCTCTCTCTCTCCCCCTTCTGCCTTTCCAGTGATTATCACATCTTTTCAAAACAATGAGATCAATTGCTCTTGATCTTGGGAGGTTCATTTGCATCCATGGCTGTGATTAGAATTACAAAGGCTGGAGAGGAATTGCTATGTAATGCAGCATCCTCTTTCACTAGAATTTAAAAAACAAAACTATTCAGCTTCCTTGTATGCCTTGTGGAAGGACTTGGGAAGCACCACTAAGGTGATGAGCCAACATATATGGCAGCAAAATAAAATAACTCTTAGGTGTAGTGATGCTGGCTCTTCAAAAGTTCTGTATTAATGCTAGCTACATGCAGAAGCACATTGCAAGGAAATACAGCAGAACGCAACCTTGTATTTAGATATTCGGGCAGCTAGAAATTCAGGCATAGAGCTATTACTATATTCCTTGTATGAACATATGGCACTTAGCAGTTCCTAGTACACACACAGTGTCCTGTAGATATATTTCAATTTCTCTGTAGCTATTTCTCAGGGCATAATTGGTACTAGGGTTTGTTGTTAATATCAGAGAATATTATACAGTTGTTTCTGTATTAGGAAAAATATTTGTTATTGGCTTCAAGCATCTGGAAACTGCAGTTGGTACGAAATGGGCAGCCCTGGCAATGATGGGCATATCCTGAAATACTTGGGTGACTCCACTGCTTTGGGAGGTGCATTGATTACTGGGTGGCTTCTGGGCACAGTACAAGGTGCTGGTTGTTACCCTAAAGGGCTCTGGATTTGATTATCTGAGGGACCACCTTCTTTCCTCATCCAATAGATCAAATAGGGTTAACTTCAGATGCTGTCCCCCATGGGATTGGCCTTGGAAACAGGCAATCTCAGTGCCCCCTTTCTTTAGAACTCCTCCCCAGGTATAAAGGAATTTAGAACTGACCTTAGGTTTAGGGAAAAAATGAACAAGCCGTTAAGGGAAGAAGGAATGAACATGCCATTAAGGAGGACTTGCAGAAAAAATTACCTAGTCCTAAGAAAGAAGATCTGACATAGTGAGAATCAGCCTCATTCTTCTTAGGCTTCAGGAAGGCTTTGAAGACCTCCCTGTGTCCTCTTGCACAGGAAGAGGGTGTTCTTTGACTAGAAGGTGGGGTTGCTGGTACATGGCATTTGTACTTGTTAATGCTTATTTTTTTATTTTTATGCTTCTATGTAAATGGGGTTACTTGGGGTATATTATAAGTTTACATTGTTAGCCATCTAGAGCCTGTGGGAATGGGGGACATGCAAGCAGAGAGAATGAATGAATGAATGAATGAATGAATGAATGAATGAATGAATGAATGAATCTGTCTGTCTGTCTGTCTGTCTGTCTGTCTACAAATGAGTATTTTCTGGCCTAGTGCACTTTCCCAAAAGTTTTCACATCAGGTTGACTATGAACCAGAAAAGTAATTCCACCATTAAATGTGAAGAATAAAAAAAACACAACTAGATGAGAAAATGCAAGTACAAAAGATGAAAATCTAACCTGATTTCCCAGACATGGCACACATCTATTCTAGTTCTGGTCATGAAGACCTACAGTACATCCAAGGTATGAACTGGCATTTGCAGGCAGCCAAAGTTGGGCGCACCCTGTAGAATGGGGACTCAAAACAGAGCAGTTGAGCATTTAAGCATGAGCACAACCTATTTGTCACATTTCCAGATATGATTGGGAAGTCTTAATTTTTTAATTTCTTGGTGACTTTTACTGTTTCAACTAGAACAAGGAGATTTTTGCTGGGTTTTAAACTGAAAGTATATTTGGTAGGGTGAAACGTCATTATATAATGAAAAGAAAATCAGCTGTGGGGGAACATAGTCTCTTGCTTCAACCAGCCTATAGAAATGGAGAGCATCTAACAGTTGTGAGAGATGTAAGCAAGTGCTGGGAAGTTACTGTACAGTAATACCTCCGGTTCACGAACGCTTCTGTTCACGAACAATTCGGTTCGCGAACAGCAGCATTCGCAAAATTTTGCTTCCGTTTGCGAACTCTGCATTGGATGACGAACACGACCCACGGCCATCTTCCCTGCTCTGACACCTGGTCGTGGGTTCCTTTAGGTGAGATTTGCTGTAATTTTGTTCATATTTTTT